AGCCACGGGCCGGCCCACATCTGCATTTTCTTAGTGTGACTGCCATTGCCTTAGTTTAATACATTTTCATTATTTGCCTGGATTACTGAAAAAGCCTAAGTTATCTGTCTGCCTCTTGTTTGATCCACCACCAATTGTTGTTGCAAAAGGCCAAAGAACAAACGACTTCAAAAGCACAAATGGGGCCAGCCCGGTGGCGCACTCAGTAGAGTGCGGCACTTGGGTGCGCGGTGGCGCTCCCGCCGAGGGTTCGGATCCCATATAGAGACCGGTCCACTCACTGGTTGAGCGCGGTGCGGGCCCGACACCGTGGGTTGCGATCCCGTTGCCGGTCGCGGTACGGGCGCGACACTGAGGGTTGCGATCCTGTTACCGGTCACGAAAAAAGACAAAAAGGAAAAAAAAAACAAAAAAAAAGCACAAATGACTCCTCCATACTGTAGGGATAAAATTCAAATTGTTGAGCTCGACACACAAGGCCCTCCATGATGTGGCTTCAGCATCATCTGTCACCATTCCCCCAACAACCCCCTCACTTCCCTCCCTGCACTTACTCTTCCTAAATCAATTCACGGTGTTCGGAATCCCCTGCCTTTTTGGAAGCTCTTCCACATGCCTTGAACACCCACCCTTCATACCTCTGCCAGGTGAACCCTGAATGCACATCAGATTTACCTCAGGAACTTAAAAACAAAATGTAGGTGATGAGATCCTGTTGATAAAATTCAGATTCACTTTCAAAGAATTCCACTAATGATTCCGATAGAAGGCTGGATTTTAAAACAACTAGTGTACAACCCATTCCTTAGTTTCTTCACATCTGGGAGGCTTGTCCTCTCCCAGTCTTGTCTTTGATGACCTTCTTCCCTATGCCCTCAGGACCTTGTGCATGTTTCTATCATTCCATTTACCATGATGCTTTGAACTCTTTTACTTACCTGTCCCCCACCTCAACCACCCACCTGCTCCCCCATCAACAATTTTGAGTCTGTTAGGGCAAGAACCTATTCTGTGTATCTTTTTAACTCCAGTGCTTGGTACACATTAAGTGACTGAAAAATGTCTTAAATGTTTGCTAAAAAAAATATTACCTGGGCAAATGGCCTACGGAGAAGTAATCCTCTCAGTCGAGATTGCT